GGAATTTCCCTTGCAGTGATTTTTTGCTAATTACTTTGTAAGAGTTACAACGGGACAATGTTTCATCTCAGTACCTGCTTATACTGTTCACCTGCACTCTCCTGCCTCCTGGGTCCGTGACTCTGTCTGTTAACCAGTTAAGAGTCACTCTGTAAATTGAAACACTGCAGAGGGACTCAGACACAGCTGGGGTGAATTGGGATAATTAACTGACCATTTGGGGCCTTCTACCAAACACTGCTGGTGTTTCCAGTCGGGAATTTTTCCAAAGCGTGTGAGGCTACCAATACAATACAATACCTCTAAAAACTATTGAGGTGGAAAAAAAACTCCCAAGGCCGTCCTTACAGAATCCTCTCACTAGGTTTATATCCCAGTGCCTACGAGAGCGTATAACCATTTTAATAATGCTGACCTGAGGTAGTTACTGTGTGCAATGGCAAGGACGGAATATCTGTCCTACAGAACCATTTTGGTCATTTCGGTGGTGTGAGAAACAGCAGCAATTGAACTGTCTGCATAGTTTGTTTAAAGATTTTGCTGAAAAATGTTCTTCCACATAAGTTGACTGTAAACCGCCTTTGTAGCATGAAACAGAACTGCACTGCAGCGGAAGAGTTGTTCCACTTATTTTATGGCAGTTTAGGGTTGGACTCTAGAGCAGTTGCATGGAAGCGTTAATGAAGTTTGGAGAATGTGCCTTTGTTTCCCTACATGCAATATTCTTCTGTATGTGAATGCACACACGCTGAAGAGCCAGGCATCCCGCAGCTTTATTTCCCGGGAAACTGAATCACACAAGAATTACTGGGAAATACAAGGATCCCATCTATGGCTGCACATGAATGAAGGCATGTGCATGTAAAAATGGTTGAAAAAAGTCCTTGATATTAGTTTCATTAGTTAACATTTGAGTGGCTGTTTGTCCACAAGGATGACTATTACAGTCACTGTGTTTGTGAAAAACCCTCATGCGCTTCAAACTTAATGAATATGTGTTTGAAGTGTTTCAGATATAGAGAGCAAAAATAGAGGGAGATAATTAAATGACTCCCACTGTAAAACTCAATTCAGTGCGTGGCCTGCAGCGGCAGAAGAAGCGTGTCTAAACCTCTCAGCTTGTGCCAAAGTGACTTACTGTTGTTTTTCTGCTCAACTTATTTTAAGCTCAATGTAATGTGACACAGGGCTCATATTTACAACCCACAATGAGCATATTCCACATCTGTCAAGTCTCATATATTTTATGCAGAAGACATGGAGTTTTTCAGAAGAGCAAACAGAGAGAATGTGAGATATTAAAACAAATGTTGGAGTAGGGAGGGGGGGAAGATTGCTTTTTGACTAATGGTCTCATTTGCATGACAGCCACTGGCAAATTGAATACAGAATCCGAGCTGCTCGTTCTGCTCGGTGAATGGGTGTTAATGGGGCTTTTCAACGTGCTCTTATTACCTTACTCAAGGAGTATTTTTACTGAATGTGATTCATGCAAACCCTTTGTCATTCTTTTCATTTTTGCTTCTCCCTCCAGGTCAGATCCAAGAAGTGTCCCTGAGCCAAGAAGAACAAGCGGCCCAGGTCGAGGTAACGCCTGAACTGGACCTGGAGGTGGTTCCTGAATCATCCGGGGACTGGCACAGTGTCTTCCCCTGAACGCAAACAACACAAGTCCTAGAGTCAAAAAGCACTGTACTGCGTCCTGAGCACTGATTGAGTTTTACCAAACCTTTTCCTCGTCTCAAAAGGGTTATTTGGTTAGAAAAAAAGATTGAAGACATCGTAGATTTGCTCCACTGTATGTCGAGGGCTTTTACCCAAGTAGCAGTCCCCTGCTGTTTATCCAAATTAGCAGTCAAGTAAGGGGAGTCTGGTTCCCTGTGATTGGCTTAATGACTTTTATCTGTTTTGCGACTGTCTGATTGTCATCAATATGATGACCTCCGGAGAGGTTTGGCTCAATAAACACAGGCATCCCAGAGAATTCAGTCAGGAGATGCAGGTCCCTCTCGTGCTGTTCCTGTTGGAAAGAGAGGAAACTGTATTCTGCGAAAAAGCTCCCCAGAGATGAGTGTCTCGTTTCTTCATTATTGGTCTGCTCACAGGGATGTAGGCGAAGCTGAAACCAACTCTACTGCTGTCTTAGCTTCAGTAACAGCTGTGTAAGAGAAAAAAGCTTTTTTCACTGGTCCACGAAAAATTTGTCACTATTTTTTTTTTTTTTTTTTTTACATATTTATACTGTACATATTTTATCTTAAAATTTGCAGTTTGTTACAGTTTGTTTTAGTTAGAAACCAGCGCCCATAGTGGTGAGGACTGTTTCTTCAGTTCGATGCTGTATGAGCTGTAGACCGAACGTCAGCATTGTGTTTCCCTTTGTTGTCGTATGATTTAGACTCTCGCAGCACCATCCTTTTATTTACTGTCATTCTGTAAATAGTGTAGTTAGATTGCGTATATTTTCTGATGAACCGCCACAGCGTGGATTGGTTGGAAATATGTAATTTCAGCATAATGTTGCATTTGTTATGAAGCAAAGCCAATGTACAGATGATAAGCTGTTTTTTTCCTTCTTTTTTTGCAGTTGTATTTTCTATTGTCCATAATAAATTAAGATTAAAGTAATTTTTCTACTTATTTAAACCCGTATTTCCTTTTTATTGTTCAGTGAATATATTATTGTGTGGAACAGAAAATAATTTTTTAAGTTTTCCTAAAAAAGAAATAGTGTCACATTTTGGAAAAAGTAATTCTTGCCGAGAGTTGAATGAGACAATTGAAACAAATCTTACGTCTGTGTGTTAAAGGTGCATTTTTTTTTTTTTTTTTACCTCTAGGGAGGACACATATGCTGTGAACGAGCATTGCACATTCTTGCCGCTGTTTAAATCCGAGCTAGCAAAAATGAATGGTAAACAATGTTCAATTTAGAATATTTTAAAACATTGGCACTACCACTTTGTTTACAAGACAACTCCACAGGGCACCTAGAGTCAGGAGGTGCTTAGCTTTGCATAAAGACTGGAAATAAGGGGAAACAACTAGCCTGGCCCTGCACATAACTGCCTATAAAACCACAGTTTGTCAATTTTAAGCTTTGTTCAGACCAACTTTAGCTCTCCATGTACTCCAGCCTCTCATTTGAATGGAAACCAGTCCAGTGATGCACTTGGATGAGTTTTTATATCTCTCAACACTCCAACACCATCACAGCCTCCTGCTTTGCTTTAACGCAGGGCTGTTTTTGGTCTAAATGCCTGCAAACGCTTCAGTTTTTACACATATTAAAGATAAAACGTGTTCATTAGTGAGGTTTAAAGTGTGTGGTAGGTGGATTGTTATTCACTTTGGAGTGAGCCAGGCTAGTTATTTCCATCCTGCTTCTAGTCTTTATGGTAAGCTAAGCTAATTGCCTAATTTCCCTCCTGGCTCTAGCCTCATACTTAATGGACACACACAACAGTGGTATAATTCTTGTCTGACACAAGAAAGTGAAAGGATATTTCCTAAAATGTCAGACTATTTCTCCTAGGTGCCCCCCATTGAGAAACTATTTAAAATACTCTCCCTCCAACACATTTTCCATTCTCCCCAACAAACTTTTGTTTTCTTGGTTTTGGGTTTTTTTTGTTTTTGTTTTTACTGTTTCTGTATCCTCGTACAGACACTCTAATATATTCAGCTACACATGTAAAGTAGGCTTGCCTATACAGTCCCAATAATCTAATCATGTCAGTATACTTTTTTCCTTTTGCCTTTGCCTTTACTCCCTCTGATGCTTCATTAATCAATACAAAAAATATTGAGTGGTAAAACCTGACCTAACAGCGGTGAAAAAGGTTTTTGTAATGAAACATTAGGTCAAAATAATTCCCATTGTTTCCTAATGGAAAAACATAAATACAGTATGAAAATAGAAAGTTATGTGTGTTTCCATTCATATTTTCATTTGCCACAGCCAGCCTTTGTACTTTTATATGTTCATGAAAACGCATATTCTGTGTGTGATTACACTGGAGTCTGAATGACGCTCCATCTCCTCCAGTCAGGAGTAGCTCAAAAAGCTGCAACATTCAATTCAATTCAATTCAATTTTATTTGTATAGCGCCAATTCATAACAGAAGTTATCTCAGGACACTTTTCAAATAGAGCAGGTCTAGACCGAACTCTTTAACATTAATTACAGAGACCCAACAGTACCACCATGAGCAAGCACTTGGCGACAAGGGCAAGGAAAAACTGCCTGTTAAAAGGCAGAAACCTAGGACAGATCCTCCGGCTCTAGGTGGGTGGTCGTCTGTCTCGACCAGTTGGGGTGAGAGAGAGAGAGAGAGAGAGAGAGAGAGAGAGCGACAGACAGACAGACAGACAGGTGCACAGCAACAACAGTATTGGCAATGGCAGTCAAGCAGGACCATGGCAGGAGGCTCCACCAGGATCCATGAGAACCTGCGAGACGAGAAAGCACAAGAACTCCGGGGAAGAAGTGGAGTTAGTAACATGCATTAAAGGGACATGAATGAGTGCAGAAAGAGAGAGGAAGAGAGTAGCTCAGTGCACCATGGGAAATCCCCCGATAGTCTAGGCCTATAGCAGCATAACTAAGGGATGGTTCAGGACTCACCTGATCCAGCCCTAACTATAAGCTTTATCAAAGAGGAATGTCTTAAGCCTACTCTTGAATGTGGTGAGGGTGTCTGCCTCCCGAACCACAACTGGAAGCTGGTTCCACAGGAGAGGAGCTTGGTAACTGAAGGCTCTGGCTCCTGTTCTACTTTTAGAGACTATAGGAACCACAACATGAATAATGATTACCAAATGAGTCACGAATTCTGGCTTAATGAAAGAAACTATGTTATGCCATTGGCTGCTGTAATGCTGTGACCTGACCCAGTAACATCACTACCCTACGCAACAGGTTTTTTTTTTTCATGATGAATCATTGTCTGTCGATTGTGCCATGCTAGACAAAACACACACTTCAGGAGGCAGAGAGTAGAGGTGGTTTTATAATTTTTATTTTTTTATTCTCAGTTAAGTGGCTGGTCATGTTTTATTACACATACAATAATGAAGAGGATCTTTACATTCATCCACAGGATCCATTCAGAAAAACACCACACAGCACTCACGAGGCTCAAGCACACACAAACAGTAGAGAGAGAGAGATGAACGAAAGAGATCACACACGTCTGCTTATTTAGCACACGTGGAAGATGGATGTTTTCGAACAGCACGAGTGGAAGTGCTGAGCTTTTCTTCAGCTGACCTTTATTCTCAGAAAACCTGCACAGAGTTAGTCACAGAGCACCTTTTTGAAATTTGTGTTTGTGTTTTTAAATTATCCACAAGAAGGAAACACAGCACATTGCTTTGGTAGTCAGGAGGGAAGGCACTTGTTGTTTACAGTATGTGTGCTGTGCATAAGGTAGAAACAGTGGAGACGGAGAAAGAAGAGAACTAGACTACACTAAAGCAAAGAGGAGAGGTCTGAATCTGGCATCATCACATCAACATCACGCCTCAGATTCAGTCAGTTTTTAAAGGTGGAAAACAGTGCACTACGAAATGATTTAGTTCTATATATGGAGAGGGCAATTAGTGTTTGCCATTATCTCATTGAAAGAAAAAGAAAAGTTACATTAGAAATGACTAATCTGTTTTCTTTTCAGTGACTATTGCATAAAATTGATTTAGAAGGTTTAGAAATTAAATTTTTTACTACAAAGTCCACAGCCAGCCTTAGGCCCTAATGACAAACATAGATCAACATCACATTCAAGACAGGACACTTAACTACAGCTAACACACGAGGGTTGAAAGAATACACACTGGCACCAAATGGCTCTCTTAATAATGTCAAATCTGTTAAATCTATCACAAAACAGAACTCAAACAGAAAAGGTTCGAGGGAATGACGAAGACAGTGTGACAAGACAGAAAACCGCTCTGTGTTTAAAACAGAAACAACCCGGCCTTTTCATCCAATCAGAAAGCGGCAATGACGGTCAAGTCAGTCGGACTTGCACCGGCCGTAACCTTCAACTGCCCCAGGTCTGCTTCAGTTTCGCCGCCCCTTTTTGTTAAAGAAACCATCGAAGACGTCTAGAGAAACTCAAGCACGAGTATAGAGAGCCATGGCAAGGGGGAGGGAGGGGTCAGGGTTGGGGTCATTCAGGCTGCACACGTGAGCGGCTTCAGGATCAATTTCAGCAAACAGTTCACACCAATGAGGATGACTGCACAGACTCAGCACAAAGCATGCAGGGGAGGGTGGGGGCAACAGATTGTGTCGCTATCTACCAGCCAAAGGGGCTTGGGTGGGGGGGGCGATAATAGGGGAGATGAAGGATTTAGCGTACATTAGAGTGTTATCAGAAGGTGGAGGGAAAGGTGAGTTTAAGGGGTGACAAGATTTCCTCCGTTTCTTCCTCTTTTTCCCCACTTTAGTCCCGTGTTCTTGAACGTCTGCCCTCGTGCTGTTGGAAGGGGTTGTGGAGAGGGACCTCAGCGTTTGGCTGGAGAAGCACTCCTGCTTCCCTGCAGAACAGACAAGACATATCTGATGAATATGTGGAGGTGGCAGTCTTTCAGGTCTGGTTCTGCACTAAAGGACGACTCTGATGTTTTTGGAGTCTGGCCCATTGGTCATTTCACTCAGCGTGTGACGAGTATTCACCTCAGTAGACAGCTTTCTCCGAAGTCCCTGCCAGCACTTAGCTGATAATGGTAGGTAATTGTAGGCAATAACTTCTCACAGCTAAATTTTAGTCTTCATCAGCGATGATGGTCATTTTGAATCATCAGCGATTTAAAAACATTAGCTGTCTGGCTAACTTGTCAGATCCTGTTAAAATAAAAATCTTAAAGGATTTAGGGAAGAAAGTATTTCATCAGCCTTCTTTCATCAAGTCTTAAAGCTGGAGTCACACAAGAAGTTACAGGAAGTTCTCCTCTTGAATAATGTATAACAATAATAAGACCAGGGCTTAGCACTGAAAAGTCAGAGGAATCCTTTAACGTGAGAAATAAGCAGGTTAGTATGTTTGAGGGCAATTTTCAGGCCTGCGATGATGTATAGTTATGGAAGCCAATAGAAACAATACAGAAATAAAATGTTAGGAATGATAAAGATAAAAATAAAATACTCATAGTAAGCCATTTTGTAAATTACTAATGAGAAGGTAACTTAAAATCATGAGTTAATAAGTCAAAACTATTACCATTACATACTGACACAAAAGTTTTAGGAAGTATCTCAAACTTATGGGATGCTATGTCAAAATGACAATATTAAGCCTAAGTATCTTGGTATCTCATAATTCTGTGTTACGTTGACAATTTATTTAGTAATTTTGACTTCAAGAACGGATTTTTCCTTTTTTTCACAACAATGACTTAATATCTCACAATTTAAAAAAGTCAAAATGTTGACTTAGAATTTTGTAATTTTGATTCACCATGAGCATTTAAATTTTTTATCATTCCTATGCTTTCATTCATTTTTTTTTTCTTGGCTGAACTGAGCATCCATACATTGCTGATGCTGCGTAGTGGGAGGTCATTATGTCGCAAGCACATATTAAATATGTTCTTAAATATACAGAAAGATGTTTATCTCAGAGGATGTTCCTGCTTTATCTGAGAAAAACAAATAGCTGGATAGGAAATTGGGTTGCATCTTATCCACTGACCACAGGTAATTACATATTGCTTCACAAAATTTTTTTTGGTGGTTTTCATGCTTTCACAGGCAAAACCTTCAAGTTTTCTATTTGTTTTTGGTCCCCAAAGTTTCCGATTAGACATCCTATGTTTATCACAAAGCCATTGCTGATTATACTTTTTCCATTTCACTCTCTCATTCCGATCACAAAGTAGGAAGAGTAGAAGATTCTGACAGGCAGAAAGATTATACAAATGAGACAAATCTTTATGGATTGCTCAAGAAGATAATCCTTATTGTGAGAAGCTTTTTACTCCTCATAAAACTACGGCTGGGGACTGGGGTTTTGTTCTAATTTATTCCTGTAGACTTTTCAGATGAAATTCATTATGTGTCATGAAACTGAAAAACTCAATATACAGCAGCAGAGCTGAAATGTTAATCTGGAAATGAAAGCAGAAAATGAATAGAAACAAAGTGTGAAACATTAATTAAAAGTTAATATGGCTTTATTCTCGTTCCCTTTTAGCGTGTGGAGCCTGTTAATGTGTGGAAGAAACGGAAGTGATTGTGTGATGGCACTGAGTCAGCACTGATTAGCTATATCAGAGAGATGTGAAACGAGCATCCCAGACGTTCATCATCTCCAGAGCCGTTTACTCTCTTGTAGCTCAGTGACAATAATTTAGCCACTACAGATGAGGATGCAGCCCTGGGGAAATTTGGATTTCTCTCCACCCCTCAGTAATTACTACTCTAAGGTATAGAGAGAGAGGGTGGCTAATTAAAACCTGACAGGGTAAAACTGGCAGAGCATGAAAGCTGCCACTCCCTTTCATGACATATGAAAACAAATCAACTAATAAGAAGCTTCTCTGTAAATTGGAAAGTGGAGCAGAATACAGAAGTCTCAAGTAAGTGCTAATGAATGCGCTGAAGCTGAAAAGTTGGGTGAATGTTACACAGTATGAGAATGAATGTCCAGCGTGGGTGTTTGAATACCTCAGTTCACTTAGTCGTACCAGGAGCACAGAGCCATAAGTGACTCTGCCATCTGTGCTCAGAGTACTTTTGACATTCATGTTTGGAAGCTTTCTAACGAGCAAAAAGAGGTAATGAATCTTTAACCAAAACCTCATCAATTCCAAGTTCACTGTCTCTCACGTACCCATTATTTCACTAGGGGTATAAGAAAATATCAAAAAATATCTTACCACAATATTTTGTATTGTGATATTGTATATCCACTCTCAAAAACACTATATCGATTTTTGTGTTTAAATCCCCAACAGCGAGATAGCAGTGTTGAAAATGTAAACTGAAGGCTATGATGGTGGATGTTACAGGGACTGTGATCAATACAAATGCAGTTCCCACTGCCTTAGTTACAGTATTGTGATATATCACACTATGCTTTATAGCACACTTTACAGTTTGAGTATTAGAATGTTTTTGTTATATAATATGTATATATATATATAAACTTTAACAGGTTTTTATGGATGCCCGTCCACACACTGTACCACTGTTTGCATTGTATAATGATATGTTTTCAGCAGTTTCAAGCACGTTCATAAATACTTTTAAACCTGCCTGTATTACCAGTTGGTACATGCCTTATAGCATATTGTAAAAATTTTAAAAGATTACATTTAAAGCTGCATTAATTGATATGTACCACTTGGGGCCTGCACAACAAACTGAACCAGTGTTCCTTCTACTTTTTGCTCTGTGTTGGCCTCCACTGACTTCATCAGCTGGATCCTAACTATCTACCATTTAATGCTGAGCAGATTCAGTTTGCTTTTCATGGCAGCTGTACTCCATGATTTTTATACTGCATTTGTTATGTGCTACTGACACAACCTAATGTTCGAAAAATTTTAAACAAAGTAGTGCTTTGATTTATTTAATTACTGGCCATTGAATGATAGCTTCTTCAGGTACTGTATACTTTGTGCCTAATGATCAGTTTTGTATTCTGCCAACATATTGTGCTGTGAGTCCTCCAAAGGACCTGAAGGAGCCAGTCGTGTTCGGCAAATGATTGAAGATATTGCATAATAATGTTATATTATATATTGTGCATAAGCCACTGCTACTTCCCTGTAAAGCAGGTACCATATGTTAGCTATAGCCCCGCTGGACCCCTTTACAACTGGACCTACCATCTTCAGCACGATTATATCAGCACCGGCATAAAGCTTGTAGCATGCACAATGATCAATCTTGTCTCTAAAAGCCTCTTATTATTCTGCTGCTGCTGCTGCAGTAGTAATGAGATTAGGGTGTCTTCTAAGCATATCAAACAAATGCAGAGTGAGTTAAACTCAAGTATCCTTCAATCAAGTATCAGTTACTCACTCTGCTGCTGATATCATCACTGAGGCAGAAAACAAAAAACAGGGGCAAGAAGGTGATTAGGGAAATATTCCATTTTCTATGCCATTTCACTTCCAGGAAAGAGAAAGTGTAGAGAAGCCACTGAAAAATAACTTGGAAAGTGTTTGACAAGCAGTTTTTTTTTTTTTTTTTTTTACCATTTTGAAGATCCTAGTCAGGGTGCCTTTGCCGTCCCCTGCACTGGCCTTCTTCGCTTTAGCAGACTGTGACTTCTGGTCACCCTGGCAGAGGGAGAAAAGAAGTCAGTGTGTTAAGAGAGTCTTGGAGATATTTGACAGGGGATTAAGTTGTGGCTGACCTTTCTACAGCGAGCCCCAGACTCATTTTCAATTCAGTGGGGGGGTGGTGGTGGTGAACATTTCAAAGAGTAAGGAGAGAAGAGGAGAGAATAGAACACATAGGACCTCTTTCTCCGAGGTGTGGGGGAGTGAGGGATGGGTGTGCTCTGCACCCAAAATATCGGAGAAAACTAAGTATTGATTACGGTGCAATCCGGTTGTGCCCTACTTTTATAGCATAATTGTGTTCCTCTCCTGGCAAGGTTGTCATCCAAACATTTTGTGTGAATTATGCATGAGTTAGAAAAGCTACAAAGCAGCAAAGTTTTGATATGAAAAGTTTTCTGTTTGCATATTTTGTTGAAAATTTGAAACCACCATTGGCAATTCTTCGGTTAGATACAAAGAAGAGGGGAAGTTAATTGAACAACAGTTGACTTTCTAAAAACACACGCATGAGTCTGATGCATGACAGTCACCTGGTACCTGCATGTTCCAGTATGGTGACCGTGCAAATGCTAATGAGTTCTTCAAGAGTCTGTTTTCTGTTGTGCCTTGTAAGCTGATTGATTCACTGCCTCGTGGCGGATGCAATGAACCAAATGTATTTTATTTTGGAAACATTTCAAAACATCGCTGCTTGCCAAACAAAACAGCTTATATGATAATAACTGTTCATCCTTTTCATATGGTAAAAACAGAGATGCTGGTGTTTGATCAAATACGCATGAAAACACTTAGGGACTGTATGAAAATTATTGGAGAAGTGACGGGGCGGAACCGTACGCTTCACTTGTTTTCAAGGCCCTCCTCAGCATCATTAATGTTGCCCTCCCTTTCTTGACTTGGGGAAAATCTGCATCACCCTCCCAACATGTCAAAAGAATATAAATTGGTGTTAAATTGTGTGCCACCAATGCAGACATTAATACAACGCAGAAACAGAGACAGAGCTGTCCTCTGCATATGGCAAAGTGCACCTATGTCACAAGTGAATATTTTTGTCACAGTTAGCTATATTGCAAAGGAAGGCTGAAATCAAATATAAATTCAGGACAAGTAAATAAAGTAAAAGATCCTCCTCTGCTCTCCTAAAACAGTCAGACTGTTGTGCCTTCAGCCAAAAGGAAAATTATACCTTCCACCTTTTTTGACCCCCTGTCCCGTCCTAATAATTTTCCTAAAGTCCCTAGAACAGACTCCTTTGTCTGAGTCATTTTGCCTTTAACCCCCAGCAACCCCTCTGCTGTTTCATGATTCAGAACAAGCACTCTCTCTCACTCACACACACACACACACATACACACACACACACACACACACGCATGAGGACCTTAAATTAAGTGCTGATAACGTCGCCAAATGAAGCAGAAGGCAGCCTCTCTTCAGCCGGCCACAGAGGAATTTTTTCAAATGAAACAAGCATAATGAATAACAGAATAATGCTTGTGTTATCATGAATATACAACACACGCACATGATATGGATAAGTCAGGCTGCAAAGCTACAAAATGGGAACGGTGTATTTGAAAATGGACTTAAGTCGGAAGGAAATGAGGGCGTTATCACTGATGTGTGGACAGATTGCGGCGGCTAAAGTGGTTGATGGAGACTAAATGGAAACAGAGCCACAGGCGTCACTCTCCAAGGCTGTTTTAGAGGATGACCTCACTCACCCCCTTTGGTTTAATTAGGCATGATACCTGCTTTTTTTGCAGTTTTTGAAACCACCTACCAGGCCTATCTTGGCTGCTAGTCCTCTCCACTGGACGTGCAGAGAAACAAAGAGACAAGGACAAGAGGTAAAAGGGAGTGTGGGGACAAATAGAAATGTGTGTCTTACTCAGTGCGAAGGCAGGATGGGAAGGAGAGGAGGCAGGTAGGAGGGTCCATCCGGAGGGGGGGGGAGTCACAGGGTCACAGGGGGGCAGGAGCAGATGAGGAAGGGGAGCAGATATGTGGGGGAAAGGAGAGAGGAGCAAGGCAGATGCTCACATTGGAAAAAGCACAAATTAAGTGACATTCAGCAGCAACAATGCTAAAGACATACAGCATGTAGAAATAATGGATAAAATAGTCCAAAGTTTGAAATACATTGTGTTCCAGCTGCTTAAATGTTCTGTTCTGTGCATTCATTTCATGCTTATGTTTGCAAATTTGCAATGGATGGGTTTCAAATTTCTTATTGATTACCCTTAAGCTGGAAATAAACAATAAGTCCTTTATCTAAACTGATTCAAATGCAACACTGTGATCAAGTTTTAGAGTGCAGCGGGATTGGTTAATGTCCTCCTGAATATAAAAGAGTTTATTCATCTAAATGCAATTTGTTTCTGCTTTGAAATCTCTGGGAGAAAAGCAGGCTAATAATGTTTTTGCCATAAAAGTAAAAATTCAAAGCTTCAGTGTGCTGGAAGTTCAGCGGTGTACAGATTACACTTAAATCCCTGACTGTCTCTCTCTGAAGTTTCTGATTAAATTTATTGTCAATATTGAACAAAATAAATATTGACAGCACATATGGTGTTCAATGATCTTAGCAAAACTGATAAAGACCCAATTTTAGGATTTTAGAATTAAGATTTTGTATTCCATGTGTAAATTTCAACTTAAAAAAGTATCAATATAAAGCAAGCAGACTCACCCTAGACTTGGGAGGGGCAGGGGACACCTGAAGAGGAGTTAATCACAAAAAGTAAAGAGATTTGACAGAATTAGTGAGAAAAAAGAGAAAGCAATAGAAGAGCAAAGAGACAAACATGGAGGGAACACTGGAAGAAAGATACTGTCAGAGGTATAGTGTGTTATTTCTATTACTTACGATCGTGCGGAAGAAATGGACCACAGCGTTTTCTGCTCCACGCTTACGTGGGGAAGTCGCAGAGGCTTTCTGAGGGCCTGGAGAGAGAGCACCTCGGAAAGATCCCTGAGAAAGAAAAGGAGAAAGGAAAGGAAGGGGAAGGGAAGGTTCAATAGACCTACATGTTAAATAAATGTATACTTCAACACAAAACTGGAATGACTTTAAACTCTTGAGTTGAATTTAATAAATGTAAGAATAAGAGTTTATCTGTTGAAGTAAGCCAATCAAGAAGAAAGCACTTCCAGTAAATTCTTGGGAAAATTGCATTAAAACACTCCAGTGGGATGAATGAATACTTGAAATGAACTTGAGTGGGTTGTCATGTTGCTTGTCATACTTACCTTTTGAACAATGGGAACAAAAACACCAAAATTGATTTTTTTAGTGGAATTGTTGACAATTTTACAAAACACACAGTACTTTCCCATGTTGCCATGGCACCAAAGCTATTCGCTTATGGGAGACAGCGGTGGCTCTACATCATTCCGTAACCGTTTTTACTTACCTGACATATGAATATAAATTCACTTTGAACTGAATTATGAATGAATCTGTAGGTTATACAATAACTTCCTTATATATATATATATATATATATATATAATGCATGTGGATGCTAGGCAATACCTTAATCAAATAAAACTGCAAAGTGCAAATTTTGTAAGGATGCTTTAAGGCATAAGTGTTAGCGGGCTAAGTGTGGTGAACAACAGTGCAGGGGCGTGTCCAGAGTTTTTTGACTGGGATATCACAAGTGGGGCACTGGCATATGAAGTGGTGGTATGAAGAATATGTTTCCAATATTTTTAAGGATCCCAATGTGCAGAAATATCCAAATACACTGGGCAAAAATAACCCATTTATACAACAAAAACTGCATGTTTTTGGACCCAAACTGAGATTAGAATAAAGTGGACATGTCTGCTAAAGGGTAGACTCATGGAACCCATTTTCATTCAGATATCATGAAGTCAGAGGTCAAGGGATCCCTTTGAAAATGAAAATTTAGCCTAACCTTGGAGCGTGACTTAGCCCACTACCCGACATGCTAGCGCGACATGGTTGGTACCAGTGGATGTGTTAGCTTTAAAATTATGGGAAAAGGTAAGGATAATGGGGTGACCAATCAGGTTTCAGGCGTGGCCAGTGTCTCTGGACACCCACCTGTGAAGGAAAGCAATTACAGTCTCAAGTCTTGCTCAGAACCGTGGTTAGTTTTAATAGTGTTCTGTAGATAAATGGCAGTTTTTACCACCTGTATGGTCTTTACAGGAGCCAGTGTCTCCGCTGTAATAAGGTGGGAACATCTTTACCCTTAAAAACAGATACTGAGATGCAGCAGCCCCTCGGTATGAATATATCTTGCTATCTATCTGTGCTTCTGACTCACTGAAAAACTTCCATCCACCCACAGATATTCATTCTATAAGCAACTTTAAAAACAGCCTCACGTCGCATACAGCTCCCACCCAGTTAACCCCGTATCCCAAACTGGCAAAAACCTTTGGCCAGGAGTCGTTAAAAACAAATTAAAATGGAACAAATGAGCGGTTAAAGATGTCAGTGTTTTCTTGTCGGTGGCTTGATCTTAACGAAGAAGATTAATTAGCATCCCAAAGTACAAATCAATGCAGCCAAGTTCTTCAAAGTCACACTTTACAAAGAGCATGTCAACATGAGTGCTTAATAAGATCGATACGCTCTGACTTTTAGGCCTGAGTTAAAACACTGCTGCATTAAAAAAAAAAACTTCTTTTAACTCGTGCAAACGGTGCAGACACATTAAAGGTGAGAAGTATTATTCTTCTAATACCGAACGCCATCAACAACCTGCAGCCCACGGGAGAACAATCTCATTTCCACCCACTCAGTATGTTCAGTCTTTTCAGTTAATGTTACCTTATTCATCCCTCTCTCTGACCCCATTAATGTAAGAGGAAAATGTATGTGTGTTTTTATGCTTGTCTGTGCATGTCGGGTGGAAGGGGAGGGAGGGCTTGCTGTTGATGATTCACGTCCATTATCTCACATCAAAGAACCTTAAGGCAACCGAAGGGAGGGGAAACTTTCACCGCCACCGCCATTTACGCAACACGACAGCCATGAGGTGTCAGATTATACATCACCTTCACTGTCCTTTATGGGTTTTGTGAAAGTGGACCAGCCAACATTCATATCAATACAGTGTAGGAAACACAAAGGAATAAGAGGAAAGAAAGGTTCCCACCTACGGCACAATCCCACCCAAATGGCTATCTAGACAGACAAAAATGGCTTAGAAGGAATTTTGTTTCCCACGTAGTATCTGGCAAATATACAGTGTGTATAAGACTTAATATTTCAGTTTGAATTGGAGTGAATCTAGCCTTTCTGTGGCTGATGTCCGCATATTCCGGCTCTGTAGCTGCCCCAGTGCCTCACTAGTGACCCCTTAATGATGTCCTCTTGCATAAGTGTGTGTCTCTGTGTGTGTACCTGTGTCAGTCCCAATGTAAATTATGGGAAATGGAGGCAGAAATGAAAGGGAGGGGAGAAAATAGAGCAACCTTGGTGGCCGCTATCGTGCCTTTGTTCGGGGGGAAAGGAGAAGAGAAAAGGAAGAGATGGGAGAGGAAATAGGAGATCAAATAATGCTGGATGAATTCTGCTGGTACAGTCTCAATTTCAGCCAGTTGTCCCTTTGATGTGAGCTTCTGCTCTCTATCTGTCCCCTTCTCTTCTCCTCCGCTTTAAAAAACATGCTCTGTTGTTATTTTTCCATTTTAAAAAGCAAAAAAAAAAAAAGGTGCAGGATGACCTCGAATAACTTTAGCTGCAAATGTCAAGTGAATATTACACATATTTAAATGAGGAGGGAAAATTAAATGCAAATGAGGTTTCCATTAGTGAGTGGCATGCTGTTAATGATGATGGAGACTTTCAAATCTTGAGCGTGACACTGAGGCATTTGCCAAGTCTGAGCTGATATTAAAATAAGTTACTGTTGCTAAATTAAAAAGCAGTGTCTTCGGTGAATGTTGAGGATATTTTGCAACTGCCACTTCAGCTTTTCGCACTTCTCAAACTTTCACTTCAGTAGTGTCTTTGAAAAGAGGGTGGTTGCAATCATTGATCTCTGTTTGATGTCTGAAGAGAAAAGGCTTCGTGTGTGTGTGTGTGTGTGTGGAGTGAGTGAGTGAGTGAAAAGGAAGTGCAGAGACACAAAGACCTAATTTCCATCTGCCTCTAACACACACACACACACACACACACACACAAACAATTTGTGTGCATTTTGTGCAGACTATACAAACAGTCTGTAGAGCATTCCCTTTGTATTCATAGTTGATAGAGTTTGATTTTTCTGTGTGTGCTGCTCTTTCGGTTGCTTCCTCAGTCAAGGTTCATTGCTCATGCTAACTATCCACTCCCTCTTTAAAAAGTGGCTATAGGCTGAATTATAATTTGTTTTGTTTTAGGATGCTAAGCAAAAGGGCATTAACATGTCTTTAAATGGGCAGTTTGGCATTGTGGGAAATAAGCTTATTACCTTTTTTTGTAGAGAGTTAGATGAGGAGATAGATACCACTGTAATAACTGCCCATTCAGTATGAGGGTATAGAACCAGGAGAACGTTAGCTTGGCATACAATGACTGGAAACAGGGGGAGACTCACCTGGCTCTGTAAAAAAGGGAAAACCAAGACTAAAAGTCTACATGATGATGATGCTAACATGCTAATGTAAGAACTAATGGGAATTATTTGTTTTTCAGGTACTGGATCATAAAAAGAGAATTTAAGAATTGCTGATTGCAACTCCCTCACTTCCCTCTCTCCTTCCAAGCGCAAAGGTGGGCGTAAAAAGGGGGAATAACTTCAATGGCCCACTCTAGAGTCAGTCCTTGCTGCAGTGGTCCAGGGTTTGAATCCGACCTGCGGCCCTTTGCTGCCTGTTATCCCCTCTCTCTGCCCCCCTTTCCTGTCTGTCTTCAGCTGTCACTGTAATAAAGCCAATAAAAGCCCCCAAAAATATACTTAAAAAAACTCCATAAAAGAGGCCCCCTCCCTCTGAAGACAAAATTCTAAGGAAACAAAAACACTAATGAAAACATAGTTACGCATACATGGTACATTCTATTTCTGCAAATAGATCCTCCTGAATAATGTATTACATGAAAAGTCGAAGGACAACTACAGTTAATTATGTGAGCAACATGAATGTATAGGTTTCACTCAAAGTTACAAATGTTGACCTAATAGTGTTGCTACAGAAAAAAATCACTGAACTCACTAGGACTGATCCTCAGGGGAACATGGGTGACTACAAAATTTCATGCTAATCCATCCAATAATTGTTGAGGTATTTGTAATGGTTGCTGGAGTCATGGACTGACCGCCATTGCCATCGCTGCAGCAATGCAGCTAGCCCAAAGTCAGGCTACCAACAACTCTACAGCTCACAAATGAATATTTTATATGTTGTTTGATTAATCCAAAACATGTTGGTGAGCCAGGCTAGACCCTTTCTAGTGTTTATGCTAAGCTAAGCGCTCCATCTCTAGGCTCCAGCTTCGTAACAGATTGGTTTTAAGGGTGGTATTGATCTTCCCATCCTACTCTCGGCAGGAGAGTGAATAAGTGTAGTTCCCAAAACTTTAAAGTATTCCTCTCATTAAGAAAAGGTTTAAAAGGTCTGACAGGAAGGTGAAGTTTTCAGATGTTTACATGTAATATATTCCAAATACAGATACGAGCTTGGTGATATGAGAAGAGTAACAAATCAGGATTCAGGACACAGATTGAGATACACAGTATTCGTGCCCTGTACTTTATCACGAAGGGCAGGTTAATGATCATATCTGCCCCCTCTGAGGTCAGAGGTCGCAGCCTGGCCAGGAACCTGTGTCATTATTTATGATGCTTAATAATTAATCCTGAGCAGATGAGAAGACTTGGAAATTTATAGTCGAGAATCTTCATCATTATCTTCATGGATCAACATCATACCAAATACTTTTAACTAACTTCACACTGAATATCTCATCTCAACATTTATTAAGAACTGTGTTGAGATATCTTTTCTAGGAATCACGTATCTACCCCGTTGCACTGAACAGCACTTTCTATTCATTCATTAGTTTCTTCACAATTAACCCATCTGCCCCCTAGCGTCTGACTGCACATTCCTGCTCAAACAGAAAAAAAGGAGTAATAATCTTTTTTTGTAGTTGAACTCTCTCAGATTCATGAACAGAGGGAGGAGCGGGGCCAATCGATCTGGCTGACAAACACAGCAGTTTGTCTGGCAGTGGAGATACACAAACATGGCATCTGCAGCTCGCCGTCCCCCTCGGAAGGCAATCAGGTCCCATGCCTCGCAAGATCAAATACCAAATAAAAAGGAGGGTAATTAAGCAATTATCTGTGCTGTCAGATAGAACAGATGATGGGGGAAAAACCCAATGTTCTTAGGAACCCTTATGGAAATGATTAGGGAGGAGTATTTCTCATTGTACTGAAGGGAGGTTTGCCTTTTTTGGGGGTGTTTGCCATCATTTTAGCAACTGTTAATTATACTTCTGTTCTCTTAAAGTTTAAATTGGAGTGCACCATTATAAATTCTTAAAACTGAAATATTGTGTAGAGGCTGTTCTATTTTTCTATAAAAAATGTTTTCTACTTTTCTCAGTCAAGAGAAAGGTCCAAAAATATATACGATAACGCAGTGGTTCTCAACCTTTTCGGTGTCAAGGACCCCCAAATTGATCCACATCAGTCCGTAGACCCATATATGATAAGATTTACTCTCACGAGTCCCCATCTGAAAATAATTTAATGTTCCATAACTGCCTGTAAATGGGTAGATTAAAAGTGAACAGAACAGTCCTTCTGATACATTCACTCGGCTAATTCTAGCTAATGAAATAATAGTGAAATTGACATATTCTCAATATTTCTGGGGACCCCCAAGAACCACATCAAGGACCCCAGGTTGAGAACCACCACCGTAGAGGGGCTTGCTTAAAAAAAAATATAAACATAATGTTCCACCACCCTCCCTCTAATAATTTTTGTACAGTCCCTTCAGTTTTATTAAGTTGCACATAACCCGATCCTAAAAATGAAATGCTTGAGCAATATTTTCACTTTCAATGTCTTGAACTCGGAGGTTGGCTTCTTTCTTGTGTGACTGATAAGATTCATTCTGCAGTATCAATCATTTGCAGCTTGCATTTAAATTCAATTAAAATGCACGTCTGTCCACAATCCCAGGCACTGTTTGTTTTCATTGTGCAGTAATTTCCTGTGCCAGGGTGCCTGGCTGTACTTGTTTCTTGGTCCATCTAACCAAAGGATGAATATAAACACACATTTTTACATCTTAAATAGAAATTGAAATGAGCCTGTACCGACTGAATTTCTGCGCTGAACTCTGATCCCTTGTTGTTGGAGAAGTAATCCTCACGAACGCGCTGCTGTTCATGCGAATGCAAAGTCTTTAGGCAGGCTCTAAATGACTCGAATCTGGCAATACTTCTCTGCGATTGGAGTCTAAATGAATGAATTTCAATTCACGCATGTCTCTGGGAAACAAGAAAAAACAGTTTGTGGTGATCAGTAAAAGCTCTGCCCTTTGAGTAGACAAACTAAGTGAAAGAATGAAAAAGGTGTTTTATTCTCTCTTCTCGCCATTTCATCTTTAGGCTCACACAAACAAGTCAAGCCAGTCAACCATTACTCAGTACTATCAGAGTGGAGATAAACAGTAGCTCTGCTTTTCCTTAAATACACTTTGAGAAGCTTTTGTTTTGCAGTATATGTTTATGTGATTGATCGACTCTGGAATATATTAATTTGTCTTAAAGTCTATAATCTTAATGGCAGCGACTGCAGACAATCGCAGGCACACTGGATAAATGATGAAAGTTAAGTTTTCTATAATGGGTTGGTTTTATTCATTGCTTGGGGCTGAACTAAAATCACTTCAAAACTGGAGTAATGGCAAATCAGAGTGGCTGGCTATTACGGGTTGTTAGCAGAGCAGTTAAAACAATGTATCATACTTTTAAAACACAGGAGGAACCAAAAAAGGGAGACATGGAGCCAAACACGAATTAAAACAAAACAAAGAGAGTGCTGAGGGTGTTGTTAAAGAGTTTTAATCAAGCAATAATCCAAAAAAAGCTTAGAACAGGATCAGGTTAGGAACAGGTCAACGGTCACAACACTTCACAACAGATACAAACGCTTACAAGTATCCACTGCAAAGTTGAAGGCGTTACAAAACAGGGATCAGCATCGATCCGCTGCTGGTTCAAACAAACTCTCCGACTGGGACAAAGACACATGAACCTGAGGTGAGCGAACTGATGCGAGGGGGGCCGCCGACACCCCCTCTGCATCCAAGACACTGGGGTTAGAGTACAGTATCACACGATTTTGGTTTTGACTGTGAGCTGTTCTGCTAAAGCCTGATAATCACTCCTGCACTGCATTATATGACTGATTCTGTCTGCCATTCAACAAATTAACATGCAAATTAAGACCTAAAAATAGTCTTTGTTCTTTATGAGTCTATATTTCTGCTTGAATAGCTAATGTTCATGCAAACTTAATTTTCCCTCCAATTAACACATCATTATCACTGTAATTTGAAATGATCAAAAACCTGTTAGCATTCAAATGCAGATTGTTTCATGTCCTGAGACTGATGTTAGACGTTTTTTTGGCGTCATCTCGCAACTTGAGCGCTTGTCTTAATGTTTACTCGAAGCCCAGTCTCGGGCTTGGAATGACAATTATGTAAATGATGAAGGACATAAAACGCACGAAGGATCAGTTTGGAAACGGCTCCACACCTGCCGAATATTAACCAACATGCATATTCAAGATCCAACAGAGAACATGGACACAATGTTTCCACATTAATAGCCAAGGAGTCGATGTATGCATTAAGTATGTCTGTGGAGAATATGTGCACACAGACAGGCAGAGTAGATTAAGAAAATTAAGCTTAAAAATATCTTCATGATGAATTCTGGAAAAATAAGTGTTGGCAGCAGGTTAGTGCAGGTTCATTTTTTTGCTATAGGCAACGGAGGTGGGGCAAACCTGTCTGTCATTCACTTGAGACGTGAACACTTATCATTTGAAGGCAAACCCTTGGTGAATACATAAATATATATTTCTACAACTTTGTTTTAGTAAACTTGTCATCAATACGGAGAGCAATGTACAGCTTTATGACATAAAAAGAAGAAAAAAAGCAAATACTGCAGGAAACTGGTCGCTAGCCTCATGTTGAATGAAAGTCTGACAATTTGTTCTGTTGACATTTTTCCCTGAACATTTCAACATTTTATAAAGGCAAAACAATATCAGATCAGCAGGCTAAAGCAATTTGTAGCATACAGTATATAGAAAATCTTTTTTTTTTTAAATCCTGAATCTTACACCGAACACCTTCTCATAGATGACCTAAGGCGCAGGGGAAATGCATATTTTCATGCTGTTGAGTGATTTCTTTGCAATTACCTTGCCAAAGCACTCTGATTGGTGCTCTGCAGGGTTAGCTGGGCAGAAATAAAAGCTTATTATCAGAGGATTTTTTTTTCTCCACAGGATTTAATCGCTGCACCACAGCTCTCTATTTAAACCAATACCAGTAATGTCCACTATTAGAGAGCAGTCGAAATAAGCAGTTATGACTCACGATGGAACATACAGAGCAACAGTTCCATTTCCTCTAAAGCACTTACAAGAGGCTTTGGGATTTAGCGTCAGTAGTGTTGTCAGGATAACCAAATTTCAATGCATGTTCAATGATGCAGTGAATATTTACACCACATTTCCATTTCATCACCACCCCCAGAGGGCATCACTGAGTGCGTGGCCCGTGGACTGAGAGGGGCTGGAACCAGCAGGGCAGCACTCTGGGTCTTAATAGCTGTGGCTGCAGTGCCAAGCAGCCCATCACGTCTGGAAGTAAATCCCAGTCTGTCCAAAGTGATGGACAAACTGGTGCCAGGAGTACAAATGGAGCTTTCACTTCACAACCAACATAAAAACGTGGGGTTTTTCCTCTGTAAAGTGGGCCTGATCAGTAAGGTTTTCATACTTATGTAATGGTCAAAATGATGGTATCTTGACAACACTAGAGTACACAGTAATTAAAAGCAATGCAGACTTTAATGCCTTGTAATCACTTGCCTGCTAGATAAGATAAGCCTGTTCTTACTTTACAGAATGCAGACTCTTGTATATATTCCCAAACGGGGAGATAATATGCTTCTACTCTAATAGATGCCATTATATGTTAATATACATCTTACATCTCTTTGATCATTTATAGCATAATGTGATCATTAAATTTGAAAGTGACTTAGCAGATTGCTGTACCGTGCAAACAGTAGTGAAGTACCTCCCTGGAGCTGACTTATCACAGATGTTTAAAAATGACCCCAGAGACAGAGAAATCAAAGAGACTAACTCTCTCCAAATGAAGCTGTGTGAACTCTCTGCAGAGCACCTAGGGCCTCTACAAAATCCAAAATCATGTACTAGTTTTACATCTAAATGATACGGGCATGAATTTGCCCCATCTCTCACATCATCATTATCGTCATCATCATCATCATCATCATCATCATTAAGGGAAGTACCTGAACTGACACACGGCTGTTCTTAACTCCAGTTCTAATAAACACACTGCATAAGGGCAGCAACAAGTGAACAAATTCACCAAATCACATGTACAACAGATATATTAAATCTAACCGAAGAGAGAAATGCTACTTATGTCAGTACCATTCAAATAAAAGAAAAACAGAGTAAAGAAATGTATCCATAAATGATTCAAACTCACAGCCTCTTTGTAATAAAAAATTTAAAGTAAAACAAATCCCACCCAAAGTCATAATCCAGTGACGATTCGTAACCTATTATCCAGTTAATGTGAATCAAAGGACAATGTCAGACTTCGGTTCACCATAAAAACAACAGTAAAACCAACACAAATCTATATGACAAATATGTTGCAACAAATCTGTTAAAGACTCAGAAGTAAAAAGTGGTTCTGTGAGTGAATCAGCAGAATGAACTGAGATACATGAAGAGGGCCGAGTTTTTCACCTCGACACTCCCCGCTTCCTCACCTTGCTCTTCCTCTTCTTGTCCCCTCCAAAGAACTTTCCAATCTGATCCAGGAGGCCGGGGTTCTTCTTCCTCCGGCCCAGCCCGAAGGCGGCCTGTGCAGAGCTGCTTGCAGATGCCATGGTTGTAGTAGTAGTGGTTGGTAGTATATTTGTCAAAAGTGGGGTTCTTGTAGCTCTCTTAAATGAGAGACCGAAAGACAGAGGAGGGAAAAAAGAGAGAAGAGAGGGAGGGAGGAAAAAAAAAAAGCTAGCCTATTCTAGGTCCTGTTCGGGGCTATCCGACCCGCACTCTGAAGCTCCGCTGTGCTCCTGGATGGTCTGCAGCTCGTCCGATTCGGAGGGTCGGTCTTTGAAGGTGTTGTCCTCTCGGCCCGGGGCATCTCGGGAGAAGAGGCGGACCAGGTGGGGGCGTGGTGTGGCGGCGTCAGGGTCAGCTGTGCTGGCGGGGGGCCAGGGCTGGTGGGGGCCCTCAGCGCCTGTGGAGTCAGTCACCGCCGGCTTCTCCGAGACGCAGCCATTGTTCTGGTTCGCATCTGCCTCACCCAGGCCTGCGCAGAAACAACAAGGGTCATCTATGGGCTTGGGCCTGCATGGCACACAACAAACCACAGCAGCACAATGGCCCCTTTTGACGAGACAGTGCCCTTCCTGCTGCGGCGGAGACCAGCAGAGCTAACATTTCACATTTGAACTCGAACAAACCTTACCTGCTGAACGGGAAAAGATAGAAATGTGGGATTAAAGACACGGGCAACTGCTAACTAAAGTCCTTAAGTACTGTTTTGTCTCTAAGTTTGCTGTTTTTCTCTGAGGTCAGTGCCACCATCTGTTCCGTTCTTAGGTGCAGACTTCTGAGTCAAAATATTCTTGTAGCAGGTGTGCTTACAATTCCCAGCTTAATTTAAGTGGAGCACAGAGCATTAACAGTGCTTGCGCAAAACCTTTGATTTATTACAGTAATGCAATTAACCGTGAGCTCACACCAGAGACATTGAAAATGACATTGAAATAAACAGAAATCTGCCCGACATTTTAAGGCTGCACCACCTTTGCAACAGAGTCAAACCCTTGTGCAACCGTGTAAAACTGATGCATGTGCATCAGCGCATTCGTTCAGTGAGATGGGAGATACGGCTGTGTCTTCAACATCCACATTGACAGCTATCCATTAAGTTATCCAGCTCCCACAGCAGAGGACATCCAGTGCATTCCTGCCTCCGAAACAATATACACACTGTACTGGCAGAAATGGTGTAGCACTACACCAGAGAATCTGCATGCTAATATTGGCTGAAACAGTGGCCTGTTGTCAGAGCTGCATAGTTATTACAGAGAAACAAAGAGCCCAGTGTCACTAAAATAACTCCTATAAGTATGGATTTTCAACCCAATGCACGGTGACACTTATCTGATTTGGGGCCCCGAGAGCTACGAGGCGGATGTCTCTGGGTGCGGAGCAGATGCTAGTTCTCTGCTGTATGCTATGTAGATACTGACACTATGAATTGTCACAATTTTAGATGTCAATTACCCCTAAAACAATACAGCTGGAGCAGCAACATCAGCATAATTTGATCCAATGAGTTCTTTAGCTTGATTTCCTTCTGGCGGATTTGCAAGTCACGTACCGAATTTGAAGGAAGATTCAAGAGTAGATGCAAATATGACTCGTATGAGAATGAGGAGCCAATATTATCGTAGGCGTTTGTTGCCCACCAGATGGATAACTGCAGTAGCATTTTTTTAAAAGAAGAGAAAGAAGATTTAAATGTATCTGCATTGTCAGCGATTAAAACTGTTGTTTTGAGGAGTGTCATCAAACAGAGACAGATATACATGGTCATTTAATATCATTAATCAGTTGCTTCACCATAAAATGAGAGCTCTTTTTTTCCCCTCATCGGTGCAGCTTTCCAACAAAGGCCTAGTAGGTCAGGATGCCAAAAATCTTCTTTAAAAAGCACTTGGCTGTCTTTTTAAACACTCTGTAATAAGACATAGCTGAAAAAGTCTTTAATAAAAATTATCTAATACCATTCTCCTGCTGCAGGAGTGATTTCTTAAAACACGTCTATAATCCAACTAAGGCGGCTGCCACACACGGCACTGCCATAAAAAGTACTTAGTGAAAGTTGTCTCACTCAATCTGTCTCATTTCCTCTTAATTTCATTCTTCTCAAGGTGAACAAGCCTTTTAGAGCCCATTCTGAGACACTAAAAGTCCTCACTGTAAACTAATGCAATTCTTGCAGGGTTACCAGCTGCTTTATGGCAGATGACACATCCCATTCAAAGACTTTCTAAAAAGCCTAACTCTAATATAAAGTGAACAATTACAATGGGCAAAAATAAGATGTCAAGTAAGGTCTTGATCAAAGAGGAAGAAGATAAGATTGAAGCCAGTCTATTTCAAATCCTGATGGCAAAAATGAAACAATCAGAAAAAGGTGGTGCAATCAATGTGTTGCTTTCTACCCTTTCTCTCAATGTCCTTCAGTCAGCTATTGAGCTATTTTGCACTGCATTAGACATATATGCAACCTAAAATAATGATCCATGTATTTAGTGCTGCAGGAAAAGGTCTGCAAGCTCTCCCCTGAGTTCTTCAAATGAGTGGCTTCTAAGCTGCGTACCGTGATATCTCCATATTACTTTCTCTTTTGCAGTTTGTGAAAACTGTCAGCAGGTTGCAGGGGTTTTTCTTCCTCTTACTTCACTGGCCTGAAAACTTTTTACTGTTTTTTAAACAAAGTACAAAAAAAACCCCAAAACCAACAAACGTATTGTTGTGTTTTAAAGTTTCTCCGGGGAGTTTGTTAGCGCACAGCATGACCTGCCAGTCACTGGAGGAAAAGCTGGCTCGTGATCTCGTCAGCCAACACCGAGGCTCATTAGAGAGTCGCTCTGCATGTTCAACGTGTTTTATGGATCTGTGACAGTTCTAGAGGGATTGCAGCAGAATAGGCAAATCAATCCGGCTCATTTGTTTAAGTTGTGAGCATGTATGAGGAGCTATATCCTCAGCCCACGGCAACACAGCCTGGTAGAATTACACCAGTGTGTTCTGACTGATTTAAAATCTGCTTACGGTAAAGAATGTGAAATATAACTCACCGGTCTTTGTTAGCAACAGTAAATATGTTATATTGCAATCTCTCTCAGGAGAACCACTGAGAGTAGAATAAATAAGAAAGCTGCTGTTTTCCTGCCCCTCATTGGCCTGCCCATGAGTCCTCTCAAATCATTTCCATCATCCATCACCTGTTGAGCCCGGCAGCGCTACCATCCGCCGCTAGAATACCAATAAAATACAAATGACAGAGGAAACCATCCTGACATGGCTGAACTTTAACACTCCTCCACAGTCCATAATAGTGCAGCGTGATACTGACTGCATGTGCACCGTGGAAAAGGTTATGTGCTGATGAGTACCTTATTAATCAGCTTACTCCCTGCCTGCTGTTATTAAAGGTGCATTAAGTCCGGGTTTTAGCATCCCAATGCACAATCTGACCGTAATACACGCGTGGTGGATTGATGGGATTGTTGATCAATATAGATGACTCAGTGATTAGTGAGTCAGGTGCTGACATTTCTGCCTAATCAGAACTCACTCTGCGGCCTATACTCTTATGCGGAAAAACAAAATTCCTCACCCACACATTTTCAATAGCCTAATGAGGAAGGCTGGTGGAAGTCACTCGCACTGAATTGTTTTCAAGCCCCAAACTCAAATGACACGGTAGTGTTATTATTATTGTTCTGGGATTTATCATTGTGTTATTTACTTTTCAGTGATTTTATTGGATCTCTGCTTAGATTAGAAAGCTTACTCATCTGTATAGCTGAGATAAGACTGTTGTCCATTATCACCCACTGTGAACGGTATCGGACCGTGATCAGTGTTGGTGATATTCTCTGGGTGCCAACTGAGGTCCATTAAATAATAGACGATGTAATGATCTTTTAATTGCTGCTTTCGATTGTCATCAACCATTTGCTGTTTGCAAACCTCCATTATGAAGATATATTGCTATTAAACTGAATAAAACAGCGCGGTGTCTGTAAAAAAACTGATGAAAAGTCAGAGCCAAACGTGTCTTTGTGAAAGATCATGACGTTTTAGCTACATGAGCAAAATACAACAGAAAACAAGTGGACTGCTTTTTCTAGTAAGTACGTTTCCAGTCCTCAGTCCCTCAAATGTATATGAATGATTCATGTGTATGTTTTATGGGGAGAGGCAGGAAATTGGAACAGTATTTTGGTGTATGACTTCTTGCGAGCCCATGGAACTGCAATTAATGTAATATGACAAGCCTACATGTTGGATAACGAAGCTGGGAGGACAAGATGTTCTTGCTGGTTTGTTTGTTGGAGTTATTTTTGCTTTATGGAGATCCACATGCCCTCACAGAGCTGCCTTTTTCTATTAAGTATATACTAATGTATGATGCATTCACTCAAAATCCCTGCTACTGCTACAAACATTTCTTCTGTATAGCCTGCACTATTATGTTCAGCTCCTGACCAAGCTGACAAAACTGAGCTCAGGTAGAGTCTTTGAAGCCACCGAGCTTCAGCGGCGAGGTCGCTGACAGCTGCGTTACAGTGTGCTGACTTTTTAAATCAGGCTGAGGCTCAATGTCTAAATTACAGTCAATCACACACTGATTTGTTTCCTTCATGACTCAATCTTCCCTTCATTTTAATAACAACTGCCACCAGACGGGCAATCAATCAGCACCTAACAGAGCTTAATAATATCCTCTGCACACCTAACCAATTTTTCATTAATTGCAATTGTTTGTGCTGCTCAGCCTGACAACTCAGAGTAATCCTGTAGTGAATGTTTTCAGTGTGATTTGAAGTCATTGGACAGCTGTAAACTCTCAATGTCACTGTGGCAGAGTGTCAATCTGTTTTCACTGGAAAACATTTAAGAATATTTAAAAGAGAAGGGAAGAAGCTTTTCATGTCGTACTTTTTGTCACTGTGTTAAGAACTGAGAGAGATGAGGGGGGGTTATAAGGCCAAATATGATGCTGCATGTTTCTTTTCCCTGTTTTAGGCCTTCACGACATTAGGTTATGCAAAAGAAGCACAACTTGTAAACAACACTAAGGGCCAATTATCCAGGAGTCTGACGCATAACACTGCAGAGAGAAGCAGGGGTCTGCAGAGAGCGTGTTGCCTTCACTTGGTTGGCCTCCTTCATCAAATACAGGATTTATTCATGTGTTGAAATCCCAAGATAATGACACGTTTCTCAGGCATGACCATCACTGGTTTAGCAGATGGGTCCTTAAGCCACCAGAGGAGAAGACAGTAGGTCAGAATCTGCTGCCAAATACCGCTGTGTGCGCCTGCCTTTACTACCGCCAAGAGATACTGACCTCATTCAAAATATGTTTTTAGCTTGTCATCATTTAGCCAAGACATTATTGCAGTCTAAGGGTGACCAGATAATAGCCTGTTACCTCATCTTGATTAATTCACCATGACAACTCGACAATGTCCCTATGACAACTAAGGCGCCAAGATGGCC